ATAAAAAAATTGAACAATAACAAATATATGATCATTATTATCACATTATTAATTACAATTGATTTTGTTATTATTAAAAGTATTTGTTGTTACATTCCAAAATTGTCACTTATGTAGTAGTAATATTATTAAAAAAACCCAATTCATGGCAAGATGAAAATAGTATAATTACCATAATTTATGTACTCCAAATAAATAGTATTGATGAGCTCTAAAGTTGTCTATTTTCTATTATTTTAAACTAGATTTGTTTGATCTTATCCTTTAAAAGAAATGACCTAAAATCTTTGTATATATACATTATATCATTCTTTATTCAATACACAGTTAAAAAATATTCCTTCATTTATTGCCTTCTTAGCCTCTTTGTTTTAATTTTATCCTTTAAAAGAAATGACCTAAACTTTGTTGATACCTATGTCAGACGCCGCATCAACATCAGCAGATTCTGAGGCATTATTAGCCCATCATTCCAATAAACTGAAAAAGCAATTCTCTCCCTGATCTTTCTTAAAATCCCTCTAGTCCTAATTGCATTCGCCCTAATGAGTCCTACCTCTGTCCTATTTACCCTCCTCTCATAGGCAAAATCTATCAATCTTGGTCTAATATCTTTTAGAATGACACTTATCTCCAAAAACAAGATGGGATTCCTTATCGGTTCTATCCCAATCCTTGTCGTCAATGACCTATTTTTTTATTTGTGGGAACACTATAATACTCTAATCATGTCATAGCTTTTAAACTTTGTCTCCTTTTATAGCTCAGTATTATTTACTTTAATCGCGCCATAGACGTATGAACTGATTTACAAGAACATTTTTCTCAAAGCGACCTCCTGAGAATTACAGAACTTCAGGAAGAACTTTACAACCTCAAACAAGGCACATAACTAATCAATGGGTCTTAAATCTGCCAAAACATATCATCAGCATAACTTCATCCTTTGTTTCCTCAAAGGTCTAGATGAATACTTTTCAGTTATTCATTCTTAGATATTGCTTATAGACCCTTTTTCTTTGGTGAACCTAGTCTTCTCTATGGTCATCTAAAGGAACGACAGCAACATGACACCATCCTTAAATCAAATGAACAGAATAGCTTTGCCAATGCTATTGATACTCGTCCGTTGTATTTTGACAAGCCTCATGATGCTTCTTCATCTCAATCATCAAAGGCTTGTCGATCAAGAAATGCTCCTACTGTGGTCGTATTGGTCATATTGTCGAAGTGTGCAATGTCAAACATAGTTATCATCCAGGCCATCCTTGTTTTCTTAGAAGTTTGCGCTACCATGATTGGACTATTGGTTTTACCTTCACCGCCAGCAACATTACAGTTGAACTAAGAGATGACACCGAAAAAGGTTCTGCATCTGGGCCAGGTTTTAATATCTCCCAAAGTCCAATATCAATAACTTATGGCAATACTTTAGCAACCCTCTCTTAGCTCCATTCATGCCAATTTGTCTCATACTTCTTACACCAGTCCAACAATTCTTCCTAAACTCAATTGTGGTAGTGATAAATCCACATTTTACTATATTTTTAGCCTATTTTTTGTTAGTAAATAAAGAGTTAAATAGTAAATAAACTTGAAAATATCATAAAAATTGCATTAATATTCATAATTGTGTAAATAGTTTTGATTTTTAGATTTTTAGTCCAATTCTGAACAATTTGACTTAAAATGACTTAATCCTTGTGCAGAAGCTTGAGCTGAGAATTTGAATTGAAGATTGAAGTGAAGAAAGTAGAGGAATTGAGCTTAAAAGATGAAGAATCAAGTGTTATGTGTAGGGTGTAATCACTTTGAGTACATAGAGTGAACACTTTGAAGAAGAAAATTCATAAATATCAAGAGAGTAGCTACGCAGTGAGCGCGTAGTCACTTTAAGTGTTCAGAGTAGCTACGCCTAAGGTCAATTCAGAATTGCACAGTGTGCGTAGCTACTTCAAGTGTTTAGAGTAGCTACGCAATTGAGCGCATAGCCACTTCAAGTGCTGAAAGTAGCTACGCAGTAAGCGCGTAGCCACTTCAAGTGCTGAGAGTAGCTATGCATGAGGATCTTCCCATGTAGAACACTTGTGTTAGACACTTTAACCACTTAAAATGTTTACGCAAAAGTAACAAAATTTTAAATACCACTTTTAATTGTCAACTTTGGACGATTTGAGTTCCTAATTCAGATTTAGAAACTTCTAGAATACCTTTGATGCTAGAATTCTCAGAGATTAATGTGTAGAAAGGAAAAAGGCAGGAAAAACATTATAAATAGAAGTTAAAGGTTCAAAAAATGGACTTTTGGTTCAATTTTGTTATTTTTCACTTTGTAACTATTTTAACTTCCAAGGAAAGTCAGAGAGAGAGAGATGGGGAACGACTTTCAAGCTTCTTTGCTAGAGGAATCAGTGTGAAGATAAGGTCTTGGAAGATGTTCTTCTGCTTCTTATCTTCTTCTTCTCTTACTTCTCCTTCTTCCATTGTAATGTTGTTCTAAACCTTTTTGGTTAGGGATCTATGGATCCAGATTTGATGTTGTGATGTAATTCTGGATTGAATCTTGAGATTTCAATTGAATTGAGTATATGTTTCTATTCTTAATGCTGTTGTGGACTAATCCTTCATTCAATTGAATTTAAAGGAATTCTCATCAATGGAAATAGAGTTTATTTCTCAGATCTGAATCATATGCGTAGGTTATTGAGATCTTAGGAATAAGTATCATGATCTAGTAATTCTATAATTTCTAGAACTTAATGTAGTATTTGATTAAATTTCACCTAAGGGATTAGGGAGGTTTAATTTGGTATTAAGATCAATGAGCCAAGGAATTGTCCTTTGGTTAAAGAAGTGAAATTGATTATCAATCAATTAAAATTCTCAAGAGTTCAAAACATGATTACATTGCAATTGAAAATCTGGTGAAGTGATTCCTAACTATTTTCCATATAACATTCTTAATACAAAATTCGTACTCTGTTGTTATAGCAAGTTTATTACCTTTTATTATTTTTATTTCTTACATTTACATGTTACAATCCTATCAAATGAATTGTTTTGCTCCACTAATTGTTAAATTGTGAAGTGGTAATTGAAATAAGATCCTTGTGGATGATACTTTGGGCTCATATTGAATTCCAAATTTTATTACTTGCTACAACTACCTAGTACACTTGCTAGTTAGTATTTCTCTCAAATTTTAAGTAACAGATAGCCCTTATGTTTTAAGCATTGTTTGTCACTTACACCGACATATTGCCTCTATGCTAAAATATTTTCAAACTTATTTTAAAATTATTCTTGTTTCTATTAATTTACCAAATGGTACTATTGTTACTACTCACTATTTAGGTTTGTTCAATTTTTTCCTCACTTTATCATTCATAATGTGCTATATATTCCTAATTTATGTTTTAACCTTCTTTCCATTTCTAAGGTAATTTTCATTCTCTATTATACCCTTACCTTTTCTGGTTCTTTTTGTCAAATTCAAAAAGTGGGCTCTTTCAAGAAGATTAGTTTGGCTAAATTAAAGCATGCTCGTTATCATATCATAATCAGTGAAAGAGCATCATCTACCATCATCCTAGTCATCTTCTGCCTATGTCTTGACCATCACACCCATCACCAATTCCAACATTTGGCATTTTAGACTAGAACATCTAGACATTGTCTCAATATTTATATCAACAATTTCCTTTTATTTCCAAGCACATCCATGAAAATTGTGACATTTGACATTTAGCTAAGTAAAGAAAATTGCCTCATACTCTTAATCACAGTGGAGCTTCTAAAATTTTTTAATTAATTCATATGGACATTTAGGAAGCTTTTTCTAAAGCATTAGTACATGATCATAAATATTTTTTTGACTACTCTTGATGATTATAATAGATACACCTGTATTGTTCTATTAAAATTAAAAGCCGAAGTTCAAATTATTGTGCAAAATTCCATTGTTCTAGTTGAAAATCAATTTTAGCGAAAGTCAAGTGTCTCAGATTTGATAACAGTTTTAGATTTTTCTTAAATGGTATTTATCCTTCAAAAGGCATAATACATCAAACAAGTTGTGTTGACACACCTTAACAAAATGACAAAATTGAGATGAAATATCAACATATTCTTAATGTAGCAAGAGCTCTCCTATTTTAATCACAAATGCCCAATCATTTTTGGTCTTGTGCTATAAAGCATGTTGTTCACATAATTAACTAAATCTACACCACTGTCATTAATAATAAAACTCCTTTTGAATTAGTATACAATCATGTTTCTAGTCTTATCATGCTCAAAGTTTTTGGTTGTTTGTGTTACACTTCCACCAATTTTCACAGTAAAAAACTTGATGCCAAATCTAAACAGGGTGTGTTTTTAGGTTTTCAAAATGATACAAAAAATATGTCCTTCATGATTTAGTTACAAACAAAAATTTCATTTCTTGAAATGTTATCTTTCATGAAATGATTTTCCCTCTTTTGCAAAAAATCCTCTTCTCAACCTATTCAATTTTTGGTCCTTATATCGCAAACTCACTCCCCAACAAGCCCATTTCAATTTTAAGACTACTACCTCATTCACCATGGTACCAAACCAACCTTAACAACTACACAAGCCTAACTCTCATTTGGCCGAACATTCACCTATGTTGCTCCCCCTAAAGCAAATGAGCCCATTTTAGACAACAATACACCAACCAATTCTGATTCAGACAACAACACCTAAATTTCTCCATCTGCAGTCCTTCATCAAAACCTCCATTATTACGTTGCTCAAATTGCCCAAGCAATACGCTCTTGTACCTCACTTATTTTTGCTGCAACATTTGTCCCAAAAAATTATCTCAATCATCTTTAACATGCTTATATCCTTTCCACTCCATTCTTAACTATTCTCGTTTTTCACCATCTCATTGTCACTTTGCCTTGTGTTTATCATTTGAACTTAAGCCACCCAGTTATCACGAGGCAGTTCAGTCCCACTATTGGCATGAAGCCATGGTTGATGAGATAGGGGCATTGGAGTTGAACAACACTTGGCAAATTGTGGATATACCTCACACCGTTAAATCCATTGGATGTAAACAGGTTGACAAAATCGAAAGGCTATCTGATGGAAATGTGGAGTGTTATAAGCACAACTTGTGGCGAATGGTTTTTCTCTAATTGAAGGGATTGATTATTGTGAAACTTTTTCCCTTGTTGTGAAGATGGCCACAATTCGTGTTAATCTAGCCTTAGTTTCCATCAACACTGGATTTTACAATAACTTGATGTCAGTAATGCATTCTTACAGGAAGATCTCTCAAAAGATGCTTACATGGCCATCCTTCTTGGTGTCAATGGCATTCATCATCCCAGTATTGCAAACATAAAAAATATCTATATGGTTTGAAGCAAGCAAGCAAGAAATTGTATGAAAATTTTTCTATTTTACTTTTATCTTGTGGGTATTAGCAGACTCACAATGATCATAGCTTATTTACTATGGTTGACAAGCCTAGTTTTACTGCTTTAATCATATATGTTGATGATATTATTCTGACTGAAAATTCTTTTGAAGAGATGCATAGTGTCAAATGTATTCTCTATTCTAATTTTTTAATTAAAGATCTTAGTAGTCTGAAATATGTTTGGGATTAGAGGTTGCCTAATTAAACGTATGTATTTTGTTATATCAACGTATATATTGCCTTGACCTTCTTGAGGACTTGGGTATGCTAGGCTCAATGCTATCTTCCACACCTATAGACAATTCACTTTGTCTGTACCAAGATTCTAGTGAACAACTCACTAATTTTTTTTCCCTACATACGCATAGTCAGTCGACTCATATACCTCACTAGCACCTATCTTGATATTACCTTTGCTACCAACAAATAAGTCAATTTATGAATAATCTCACTCAAGCTCATTTTCAGGCTACTACCAAAGTTCTCTGCTATTTAAAGAGTTGTCTTAGCAAAGAGTTGTTCTCCAAGCAAGATTTTGATGTTCAAATACTTAGTTTTAGTGATGCTGATTGGGCCACTTGTGTTGACTCTTATAAATCTGTCACTGGTTACTATTTCTTCCTTGTCAATTCTCTAGTTTCTTGGAAGACAAAGAAGCAAAACACAATCTCTCATTCCTCCTCCAAAGTTAAGTATCGAGCCTTTGCCACTGCCACATGTGAGTTGCAATGATTCTATTTCTTACTTTAAGACTCGTGAATTTCCTGTTGTAAACAAGTTGTCTTATATTGTGAATAAAAGTGCTTTACACATAGCTCTCAATTCTTTTTTTATGAATACACAAAGCACTTGGATATTGATTGTCATCTTGTTCGAGATAAATCTTAAGCAGGATTAATGTGTTTGTTCCTTATCTCATCTTTAAATCAACTAGCTGATATTTTCACTAAAGTACTTTCACCATGGTTGTTTCATCTTAATTTATCCAAGCTGGAGCTGTTTGACATTTTCCTACCTCCAGCTTGTGGAGGGCTATTACTAAAAGAGTCCAATTCATCCTAAGATAATGACAATATACTTACCACTCAGATATGTACTCTAAATAGTATTGATAAACTGTAAAGCTATTTATTTTCTATTTTTCTTTAGTTAAATTTGTTTGATCTTATCCTCTGAAAGAAATAATCTAGAGTCTGTGTGTATATACATTATATCGTTCTTTACTCAATACATAGTAAAAAATATTCCTTCATTCGTTGCCTTCCCAGCCTCTGTCTTAATTTAATTTTAAGTAATTTAAGTTATAGTGACTAATAGTAAAAGTTTAAAAATACTATGACGATATTACTTTCAATAATTATCACGATAATTATTATTTTTTACAATTAATACCATTTTTTGTTATGATAATTTTTATATACTTTACTTTTAGGTTTTGTATATTATTGTTATTATTATTTAACATCTTTTTATTTAAAATATTTTTTTATAAATATATTAATAATAAAAAAATTATATAAAGTTTTTTTTAAAAATAAGAGTAATACTATACTCATCTTGCTGAAAACATATACTTGGTAGGATTAGACCTTTAGTTAGAAGTCTCCATGCAATGCTTCTTTTATCTTAACTTTCTCTTAAGACTTATCTTGTTCGTGGAACTAGTTGTTATGGCGTGTTGTGCGCTATTAATAGTCACATAAACATGAAGTATAACTTTTAGGCCAAAATGAGAGTATGTATATGTATTACTCATACACAATTATCTTTATTATGAATGAAATGATTTGAAAGTGTATTTATGTGCAAAAGTGAGATATGCGTGTTTTTTTATTTTTTATTTATTTCTCTCTGAATTGTGTTATTCAAAAATATGTCTCAGTCCTTCTTTTTTATGTGATTATGGTACTTTATGTATTATGTGAAATCAAAATTTTTACAAATTTAAAGGGTGCTCCTTTCTTATCTACTTTATAGGATTAAATTTGAGTTCAATGATAAAGGATTGTGGACTACCCATAATTTAGATTATAGGTGCACTTATGAGGGTTGGGTGACTGTGCACATATATAAGGTGAATTTTGGACAAGTACCCCAACATGTTAGCCTTATAGTTCTCCTTATCCTTGCCTCTCTCGTACCTACTATAAGCTATAGATGTAATATTCTTATCTCAAAATTCTATACAACGTATATTTTTTAGTTTATAATTTAAATGCAATACTCAATTTATGTATAAAGAGCTTCATTGAGAATGGTTAATGAAATTTTTGTTGCGATATAGTAATTTGTACACAATATTTCCAATTCGATTAATATAAATGGTATGACAAAAATTTTAAATGATATACTAAACATAATCATAATTCATAAGTCAAAAAGAAAGTACATATATTCCATCGATCGAGTCTAATAATTTACAAACCATTTATCAAAATATATGAAACTTAAAATAATATGTACATTACATAAACTAATAGAAGTCCTAGAGCAGTCTCAAATCATAAACCAACATCGAAGATCAGTCTTATTCATAAACCTCGTGCCACCTTTCTATCTCAGCCAGGTCCTTTAAGTCTATGTCATCATCTGAAGCTAGATAACCATCGCCCGAATTAGCTCTGACCTCTGTCCTAGTGATGTGCTCGAAGGTCCATCAGGTAGGTCTTCCGAGATGATCGTGATCATGATAGGTGAATAGGTACGTGAGGGCTGTTAGACTCCTAACAGTATCTCTATACATATATACACATAGGGTCTGGTGTATTCTACTTCTAGAAAAACCAAATGGGATACTATAAGAGTAATCCATCTCCATTATAAAAAAAATCCTAGGTTCATCTTCTACAAGTACAGCAAATTTAAAATAATTTACTCTCTAATATTCATTAAATACATAGTTTAACCTAAAATGTACAGAACTATCTACTAATCTAATTCTTCCCTGAGGCTCTGTCATCCTAATTCCCTGAAATTATTAATAAGGATGAGCATCTATTCTATCCCTTTGTAAACATTTAGTATAAAATCATAATTTTAACAAACATACAACACATTCAATTTCATGAATTCATATTCACAAACATATTCACATCACACATAACAATCAACATTTTATTATCCATTTTCCTTTCCCTTATTTCAACACGCACTCTCAGTGCATTGTGATCACAGATATCTATGCCTCCAACATTTCTTGAAGTCTTACTCAACTAGGTAAATAGTTGCCTGGTAGCCCATGCACAGGGATACAATATGTACAATGATCGGGCCCTTAGCAAAGGGATAGTCAGGAATTTAGTCAGAAAATGAGTGTGAGGCCATGTGACATGTTCGCTCTCAGAAAGAGTGTGTACACATATGCGAATGTCGCTCACCGCCCTATGTTTCGCCAAATTCTTATCGTCTCCGAACTCTATACCCCCATTGTATCTCTATAACTATTCACACTAGATTCTATATAATCTTACTCTTAAAGTCATTCTTAGAGTTATCTTTTCTTCCCACTCATAAGATCTTGCTTAGTAAAGCACTTCCAGACTAAATCCATTCCATGCATACATTGAAATTTCATTGGGCGACTTTTATCTTTATTCTGATCATCTTCACTTGATCGTTCTATCTCTATACCACATTAGGCGCATAGAAAATTGTCTTTCCAGCTTCATACCAACATAAAGGAGTTTGACACCACCTTCTATACGATGGTTCATACAGTGCCATGCCAATGCTTACCTGATAACTATTATTATATGTGAATTCTACGAAAGGTAGACATTCATCCCACGTTCCTTTTTGTTCCATGGCACAAGCTCGTAATAAGTCTTCTAGTGTTTGGATAGTACGTTCTGTCTGCCCGTCTGATTGAGGATGATATAATGAACTAAGTTTTAACTTAGTCCGCAAAGCTTCCTGCAGACTTTCCCAGAATTTGGATGTAAATCTCGGGTCTTGATCTAATACGATGCTTAGGGATATTCCATGCAATTTGACTATCTTATTAATATACAACTCTGCCAATTTCTCCAATTTATACTTCATATTGATTGGAATGAATCAGGAAGTCTTAGTCAAACGATCTACAATCACTCACACAGCATCGTGGTTTCTCTTTGTTCTTGGCAATCCAGATACAAAGTCCATGGAGATACTATTGATGAATCCACATTTTGTTGGATTTTTACTTGTCATTTTGATGTTTCTTAATAGAAAAAGTAAACTTAGAAAGTGCAAATAACATAAAAACATCATTTTGGTCAAATATCATAGGTTTCTTAATTTTTGGTTAATTTACATTGATTTACATAGATATAGTTTGTAATTTTGATCATTTGAATAATTGTGCAGGAATTTCTAGACTTTTTCCATGAATTTTTAGCATTTGAGAAAGTTGGAGATGAAAGTGATCACTTTGAATCCCATAGTGAACACTACAGCAAGCTAAATCCAGAAGGGCAGGCTAAAGTGATCACTATGAACTCATAGTAACAACTACAGAGACCTAGTTTGAAGAAGTGCTACGCGTGCTTACTATGGAACCATAGTGGATACTCTGGAGCAGCCAAAGTAATCACTCTATACCAAAGTGAACACTCCAGAGAGGCCAAAAGCACAAGACTTGCGCGTGCTTACTATGGAACCACAGTAGACACTCTAGAGCAGTCAAAGTAATCACTTTGACACCAAAGTGAACACTCCAGAGAGGCCAAAATCCCAAGACTTGCGTGTGGCTATTATGGGGTGAGAGTAACTACTATGGAGCATTGCGCGTTATCACTATGAAACATAGTAGTTACTATGGGCAAAAATTTCTGCACTATAAATAGAATTTGAGAAATTATAGTACAGAGCTTTTTCATAACTTTAGATTCTTTTGCCACTTTGGGAGCATTTTGCAGAGCTTAGGATCCTTGGGTGACAGCCAAGGTCAATCTTAGGGTTTGATTTGCAATTTCTCTTCATTTTTCTTTAATTCTTGCATTGATGATATTGAATTTCCTTTTTTTTTCATCTTGAATTTGTAAGACCCGTCCTTATGGGGGGCTAAACTTTCTTGTAATCCTTAGTGATTTCATGGATTTTTGAATTCCTGGGTATGTGATGAACGAGCTTTCTCATGTTTTGTTTAAAAGATTTGTTGCAAATCCTCATCAAAATTTAAACAAATTAATGTAGTACTAGAGTTACTCTAAATTGTCTCCCGTGAACATTGGCTATTAATCTTCATTAAACATGTTGAAGGCATTAATTGAACAAACAATTAAAATGGGGGGTTTCTGGTTTCAAATCAAAATAAAGAACAACGAGTAAACAAGTTTAATTAATTCAAACAATAGAAAACAACAATCCTTAGTTCATCTACAAAGATTCTATCCTCATTCCACTCAAGATTTAACATTCATCCTCTCTCCCATTAATTAGGTTAATTTAACAAGCGAAAATTAACCTTATTGTCCTAATGAAATTACGCAATTTGCTAGGCTCTAATCTCTCATCCCAAAGTTACGCAACCTTAGAATTAAACCTAGGATTAAGCAATCCCTAGTTTAGAATTTCCTTAAAATGAATTAGGGTTAATTAAGCAATATCCCTCTCATTCACCATTAATTCAATTCAAGAGACAAGGAAGAAGTAATTCATGAGAAGAAAGAAATTATATTATCATTAAAATCAAGGAACTCAAGAATCCGTGTGAACTTACTAAGGATTACACAAAATTTTGCCTTCCATGG